CACAACACCAAGAGCCCCCCCTGCCTCTGCCTCCCGAGTGCTGGGATTAAAGGCGTGTGCCACCAACACCCGGCTCCCCTTCTTAGCTTTTTTTTTTTTAAAGATTTTATTTATTTATTATGTATACAACATTCTGGCTCCCCTTCTTAGCTTTTTTTTTTAAAGATTTTATTTATTTATTATGTATACAACATTCTGCTTCCATATATGTCTGCACACCAGAAGAGGGCACCAGATCTCATAACGGATGGTTGTGAGCCACCATGTGGTTGCTGGGAATTGAACTCAGGACCTCCGGAAGAGCAGTCAGTGCTCTTAACCTCTGAGCCATCTCTCCAGCCCCCCTTCTTAGCTTTTAAAGAACTTTTAAATGAGCTTACCTCATTTCTTCATCCATCCATCCCTCCATTCACTCACTCATTCATTCATTCATTCATCCATATGAATGTACACTGAACACCTGCTTCTGCCAGGCACAGGAGCCAATGGGACATGGGATGCAGCCGAGACCCTGGGATAAACATGAAGCCTCCTTGTCTTCCTTTAGAAGCACTGTGACACTTCCTTCTTTTGGTGCCCTTGTGACATTTTTGCCTATCGCTCAATTTAGCACTCAGAGCCTTCTGACCCTGTCTGGGCTGAAGTCCTGTTGGGTTCCACCCCCCATCTCTACCCCATTTCTTCAACCTCCCTCCCTCCCTGCACCTGAAAACCAGAAACAGCCCAGGAAATGACTGGACGAGGGAGTCAGAGCCCTTGGCCTCTCAGTTTCATGACATTATCCTCTAACCCTGAAATTGGGGCACTCATCTTGGCAAAATCTCCCACAACAGCAGCTGTGCCCCTTTCCATTCCTCGTCTATCCTCCCCTCTCCAGCATACAACAGGTGAGCCGCCTGGGCTCCATTTCCCACCTTCCCCTCTCCCGTGTAGGCCACACACAATCACACTCACACATCTCTTTTTGTAGGTCAGTCTGTTCTCAAGGACTGTGCCCTCTGACTCAACAACTTCCTCTTGCAAATCTCCTCCAGCAACCACCTTTGGACCACGTGTCTTCTTGGGTTGTAGCCTGGGCCAGTATCAAAGGCTACAGTGGGTCAGAAGCAGCACAACTGGGGCCTGTCCTCTCTACCTCAGACCCTCAGAGAGCCCCTAGCACCCATGTTCCCGCCCCTGGGCCTATATTCTCATCTAACTCCCTCTTTCTTAGAAAAGGGAAGGACTTCAGCCCTGGAATGGAAGAGGAAGCAGACAAACCGAGCCTGTAGGGGAAAGGCATCAAGGCCAGAGGGTTTGGCAGCACCCAGTCGCCACGCTGGGCTGTCACCTCTCCTCTTCTAGCATGTATGCATGGGTGGGTGGATGGGTGTTGGTGTAAGGGCGCCTTTGAAGGGAGGGTCTGGCAGCTTAGTCCCCATCGAGTTTGCATTCTTTTGGAGGCTGCACACAGATTAAGGTTTTCAGCTGTTCCTGTCCTGTCTGAGCAAGATGAAGGCACCGGTGTTCCCAGTCGTTCCTGTGTCCCTCACTTTGCCAGTCCCTGCCCTGCTCTCTCCCACCATCTCTACTCACCAGTACTGTTCACAGCCATCACCTAAGGGTCACATCTTGCACACAAACCACACCTCTGAATGGACACAGCAGGTGCCTGGGCTTCTTGGAACCAGAAAGTCTCATCTCTGCCCCAAGGAGAAGTAGCCGATCTCTGGCAGCCTCAACCAGCAGCTGTCAGCCAGCCCAGAGCCAGAGTGCTCTGGGAAAAGTCACAGGTCACAGTTCACCCAAGAGCAAGCTGGATGGCCCCATCCAGGCTCTAAGCTGACCCCTGAGCAATGGGAGTGCTGAAGGGGCCCTATGGGAGGGGGGTGCCATGTACTTCACAAAGTTTCATTGTCGGAAGTTTGCTGGTTTGTTGCTTCATTCTTCTTGTCAGACCCCAGCATCCCAAGGTGGATCCTTGGAGAAATTGTAGGTCAACTAAGATTATTCTCATGGAAACTGATTCCAAAGGGAGCATGGAGGAAGGGCTGGGGGGTGGGGGGGGGATGAATGAATGAATGAGTGCATATGGCTCACAAATATTCACAAGTGTAGAGTGTGAGGATGCTAGGAGGATGCTAGGAGCAGGATCCAGGGTTAAGGAGCAGGGTCAGATGAGGATCTCCTGTTGCTCATAGGCTTTGAGGTGTAGCCCCATCTTTAGCTTCTAGCCCATCAGAAGTGGAGGTTTCCACAGCCTCATCCTCACTGCCCACCAGCGGCTCCTCCTCCCCCTTTAGGTTGGGACCTGGCCCAGACTTCAGCTCCTCCAGTACTAAAGAGCCCTGGCGAGATTTCCGTCTGCTAAAGAAAGTGGTGAGGGTGGGCCGCTGGCCGGACCCCTCTTTTTCCAGAGCTCCAGAGCCCTTGTTGCCCCCTGGCCCTGATGACGCTGTTGCTGTTGCAGCCTCTTCATCAGGAACCCGGGCTGGCCCAGCCCAGGCATCCACTACCCCATTGCGCTTTACGCCTCTGCTCAGGGTCAGGGCCCCGGTCCTCCGCTTCTGCCGCCGGCGCCACAACAGCAATAGCGCAACCAGAGCCAAAACTACCAGTAAGGCCACAAGCATGGGCACTAGTAACATGCCGCTTGATCGCTGGCGTGGCGTCCTGGTGGTTATTGGCTCTGGGGTAGACATCATGGATATTTTTATGCCAGAAACGGGGGTGCCACCCGCTACACTAGAGCTCTCCACAGAACTGGTTGCTATGGTGGCAGGGAGTCCATGAGTCTCACTGGAGAGACCCAGAGACCCAGTAGTCATGGTGACAGGGGGACCACTGGTCTTGAAGCTTACTGTTGTAGTCACAGAGGATCCACTGGTCTCACTGGTGCTTGTTGTCATGGCGACAGGGTGTGCACTGGTCCCTTTAGAGTTTTCTAGAGAGGTAAATGTCACAGTTCCGTCTGTCACAGGATTGGCTATTGTGTCAGGAGGGTCACTGGGAACATCTGTTGATTCTGGAGGCTTCACTGATGTCTTGTTGGAAACTTCCTGGGAGGTTGTAGGCTCAGGTACAGGGATGCTCATGCTAGCACCAACGGGAACCCCAAGAGAAGACAATTCAGGAGTTCCAAAGGGGGTTGAGGAGGGTGGGGGTGTGATGTGACTCCCGATGCTGGCAGTCTCTGCAGGGTCCACTGTGTCTGTCCTAGTAGAGATTGTTTGGCTGACACTCAAGGCCTCAGAGATGTCTGGGGCCTTGTTATGTGGGGTAGCAGGTGTCAGCGTCGTTGTGTTCTGCAGATCTAGGTTGCTGCTCGTCACCTGGATCCAGAAGCCCCCGAAGAGGAGGAGAAGCAGGGTCATCTTCAGAGCAGGAGCTAGGACCTGAATGTAGGGAAGTTACCGAACACACAGGGGTTGGGGAGGGAAACCTGGCCAGCCCCCTCCTTCTGCCACTTCCCTGCCAACTGCCGAGCCCAGCTTGTGGTTTAACGGTTTCTGAATTTCTTTTTTTTTTTCCATTCTTGCTTTTACGATTATCAGAAGCAGCAAGGGGACAGATGGTGGCAGTGACTCCCCACCCTGGCCCTGGCAACTGATTCCAGCAGCAGCCATGTCCTCCTGGCCGTCACTCATTCTGTTCCAGTCAGTGGCTCTTGACCCCCTTTGCCCATCACCCTACCCATCTTTTCAAACTATAGAAACATCCCATCATCCTCTGAGCCCCCAACCCCACACCTCTATTATATCTAGTCTTACCAGCTTAATGGACATGGCGCAGGGCCAGGGTGAGCACCTCCAGCTCCTCCTGAGGCTTGGTCGGGACTGGGACAGACTGAGCCCCAGGGGGAAAGGAAGTGGGTCTTGGCTCCACCCACCCAACCCCTGCATCCTGCCCCACCCATTCCTACTCCCACAACTGCCTGGGGGACCCAGGAGCTCAGTGAAGGCATGAAGGGATACTCTGGTCCAGAATGACAATTTTTAGATTTTCACTGGGGTATAGAATGTCAAGCAGTCCCAGCTGGGAGATGAGAAGATATGCTAAGGACTAGGAACTGAGAGAGAGGAGGATATAGAAGGAGAACCTGTTGTCCCGCAAGCCATTTGGCCAGGACCTGAGGTGATGCATTTCCTGCTAAGATCTCCCAGGAAGTAACAGGGCCAGGGAAAGCCCGCTGACTTTGCTCATACCCCTGAAAGGTTTTTCAGCCTGCCAGAGTCACAAGGAGCTGAGGTCACTCCAGTGGCCATCAGTTGAGGCTAGTATAACCACTGCATATAATATGGTCTTAGAAAACCATGCGGGCTGGAGAGATGGCTGAGAGGTTCGGAGCATGGGCTGCCCTTCCAGAAGACCAGGTCAGTTCCACGCACCGGCACAGTGACTCACAACCACCAGATATCCGGAGAGTCTGACGCCCCCTGCTGGCCTCCAAGGGCACCAGCACGCATAGGCACAGACAAGCACTCATGCACAGAGATGAAAATAAATTCAGATTTACTTAAAAAGAGAAAACTTCTAGAAATACCTGTACTATGAAATTAACTAAAAGTCTTCAGTTGAGTGTGAACTGAGGGTTTGGGGTCATTTCTGCAATGCTGAAGATCAATCCCAGGGCCCTGGTTCCACACACATTCTCTACTCTGAGCCACACCCCCAGCCTTGAATAAGGGGCTCTTTGCATTCTTCCTTTGAATGATTTCTGTTGCCTGACTTGAGCTAGCAAATGGATCCTTTTGGTAGTTGTCTGTTTGGGAACCTGGCCTTGCCTTCTGAAAACCCATAACTGGCTGGGCATGGTGGCGCACACCTTTAATCCCAACACTCGGGAGGCAGAGGCAGGCGGAACTCTGTGAGTTCGAGGTCAGCCTGGTCTACAGGGTGAGTTCCAGGACAGCCAGGGCCACACAGAGAAACCCTGTCTCGAAAAACCACAAGAAACAAGCAAAAACTCATAACTGATTTTTATATTGTCAAAACAGTTCTGTGCACAACATAACAACAACAAAAACAGACAAAATAAACAAACAAACAAAAAAGGGGTCTCTCCTCTGAGGAATCCATACCACTCTCTCGGTCATGTCTTTCTTTCTGAATACTTTTCTTTCTCTTAACCGTAGTGTTTACATATCTACATTAAAAAATCTCAAAAGTAGAAAAGAATTTTAAAAATCTGTAATTTAATTAACCCAAGTTCTATAAGAACAAAATGACTGAAATAGGTCCCTGGCAGAGTCTAGGCTCCTACTGTAGCTACTCACTGCTGAGTTAAGGTGGCATGAGACTTGGGGGTCAGAAGCAGGACTACTGTGCTCACAGAACAGCAGGCAGTCTAAGCATTCATCTGCCTGGACATCCTTTACTCAAGGTCTGGGAGATACAGAATGGCCAGAGTTCTGTCCTGCACACAGTAGGTCCATCCTGGAACACAAGGCTTGGGGTGAGGGGCTTCATTTATAGCACACAAACGCAAGCTGCTCAAGGAAAGTACACCTTGCTCACTGCAAACTAGAAATGACTCAGAGGACAGAGATCAGGGCCCTGCATGCTAGACATCCCCAGCAAGCATGCTCAGGGATGCTCAGACCCCATGGGTTGCTTCTCCCAACAGTCAGCAGAGGCTCAAAGAAAAAGCAAGTTTACACATAGCACTCAGGCATAGTGGCACATGCTATGGTCTCAGCCCTATGGAGATTTAAAGAATAAAAAACGAAAAGGCCAGGCCTAGTAGCACACACCTTCAATCCCAGTATTTGGGAGGCAGAGGCAGGTGGATCAGGCAGAGGTCAGCCTGGTCTACAGAGTGAGCTCCAGGACATCCTGGGTACACAATGAGACCAGCCCTGTCTCAATAAAACAACAAGGCCAGCTTCATACTCAGCAGCAGATAAAGCTCCCATCAGTGTTGCTGTGTGTGCAGGTTCTGCATTCCATTGTACACTTTTGTTCCTGAATGTTAGTTCAGAGACATATTTCTGTAAGCTCCCTGGGGGCATATTGCACTTCTATCTGCATAGCTGCCTGGTAGTTCATGGCAGGCATCACGCTGGAAGTCATCTCTCTTGATAAGCCTTCACGTTGTTTACATTGTTTCCAGAGTTTCCTGATTAAAACAAAGCTTCAGAGAGCCAGCACCTTCAATCCCAGCACTTGGAAGGCAGGTGAATCTCTGAGTTCAAAGCCAGCATGATCTACAGAGCAAGTTCTAGGACACCTAGGATTACACAGAGAAACCCTGTCTCAAAACACCAAATAAACAAATAAAATTTAAAAGCCACACACACACACAAAACACAAAGCTACAGAAATGGTCTTGTTTTCTTCCTTCTTTTGTAGTTTTGTTTTTTAGGTTTTTTCTTTGTTTGTTTGTTTGCACAAGGTTTCGTGTATTCCAGGCTCAATATGCATCTGAGAATGATCAGATTCTCCTGCCTTTGCCTCCAGCACTTTGGGAGGTGTGTCACCGCCCCTAGTTTATGGGATCCCGGGAATTGAACCCAGGGCTTTTTTTAGCCAGCTTAGCTATATCCCCAGCCCAGCAATGATTATTTTTCTGTGTTTATTATATCTTATATTTGTTTTTTTCAATATGTATGGGTGTCTTGCTGACATGTATGTCTGTGCTCCATGTGCTCAAGGAGGCCAGAGGAGGGTGTCAGATGCCCCTGGAACTATGGATGCTTGTGAATCCACCAAGTGGCTTCTGGGTATTAAACCTGTGTTCTTCTTCCAGAACAGCCAGTGTGCTTAACCCCTGGGACACCTCTCCAGCCATGTATTGTTTTAAAAAGAAAGACCCAGAGATGGTGGAGGGAGAGGCAGAGGATCAAGAGTTCAAGTCACTCTTGACTACATATTAACTTCAAAGTCAGACTGTCTGATACATAAGATCCTGTCTCAAAAAGAAGAGAGGAAGAAACAGGGAGGTAGCAGGAGCTGGGGGTCACAGAAAGAGCAAACAAGAAGGAAAGTGATGGGGGGAGGAGGGAGGGGATGAAGGGAGTGAAGGAGAGGGTAAGATAGAGGTAAAAACACCCCGCTGTTGGGTGTGTGTTTCTTTTGCCCCTGCAAACAGAAAAAAAAAGTATATATATATATATAGAGAGAGAGAGGGAGAGTCAGCTTGTCACATCAGATACCTATCCTGTGCAACTACAAACGACTCCTTTAAATTCTCTAAGAGTTCCTGTAACTTACCAAAGAAATTGGAGGCTTAACCAGATCAGCTTGTTGGCTGGACACAATGCATATCCAATGAACTTACCCAGATTACAGGCCACCTCCAGAGCAATAATACCCTTATTTACCACAAAGCTTTGTACAAGACCCTTCTGTTCAGAAACAAAAACTTTGTGTCATCTCCATCATTACAAGTTAAAAATAAGCAGCTTCCACCTTCTACCCAGACCTTACCCTCAAAGCACCCTGGCCCTGTGTTGTCCTATCAGTATGCTGCAGAAAGCAGCAAAGGGTCCCACCCTTACAGCTGCAGATGTGGAAGCAACGAGTGCAAAATTCTCAGCCTGTTTCTAGACACTTGTTTGTGGAAGTTCCTCAGAGTTCAGAAATGCACTCATCTGAAAAAAGGAGAGATGATTGCAGTTTTCCAACAGCAGTGGCAGAACACTAGTAAAAATGTCACTACTATTGGGAAATTCTGTGAGTTGAAAATAAATACAAAACAGCCTTTCAATGACCCTGCTGGCTCTTCTGGGGATGGTGTTCAGACTCTTGTTCAAAATAATCAAGAGGAAAGAAAGACTTCATACAACCCAAGTACAAATCAAGTACTAGACACAAATGTCACAAAAGAAAAGCTGGTGAGGGATATTAAATCACTAGTAGAAATTAGCTGGGCCATGGTGGCGCACGCCTTTAATCCCAGCACTCAGGAGGCAGAGGCAGGCGGATCTCTGTGAGTTCAAGGCCAGCCTGGTCTACAGAGTTGATTCCAGGACAGGCTCCAAAGCCACAGAGAAACCCTGTCTTGAAAAACAAAACAAAACAAAAGAACAGCAACAAAAAATGTTTTCAGAACTTATAAGCAAAATTAAAATTAATAAAGACCTTTTGATGGCAGCTGCTTGCAGTAAAACAGCTTTATTCATCAACCAATAAGAGAAACATACATTCACAGCATACAGAAGGACATCCCCCATCGCATACCTACCTACCATCCCAGGGCCAGGAGTGGGAGGGACAGGAAGGTAGGTGGGACTTTCTGGCCAGTTAGCAGAGCCAAAAAATAGCAATATGTTCAGTGAGAGGCCCTGTCTGGAGGAAATAGGTATAGAGCAACAGACAGAGGAAAACAATCCTTCTCTGGCTTGCACATACACACAGCAGACACTTGTGCCTACATCCACTACACACAACACAGACACACACACAAAATTGTTTTTTTTTTCAGAATCAAACAATTTTATTTTCATTAACTCACAAAAAATAATACATTTGGTTATAGAAGGGCATCACTTGCCCAGTCCCCAACACTGCAAGCTGAGTGAATAACTAACTATACAGTGAGGACTCTCCCATGGCTATTCTGAATAATGGAGCTATTAGAAATAAGGTTTGTTTACTCAGGGTCCACACTTGCACTAAATTAGGCAGAGCCCATTTCAATTTCTTCAGCTTGAACTTTTTGATTAGATTAAACCATTTGCAATTCTGCACTGTCACAACACCTCATTGAAGCCCTAGCAGAGTCTGATGTTACTCTGGTTCTGGGCACATTCCAGAAACTGATCTTAAGAGAGCACGGCCCTGCTGGTCCAGCAGCTGGTTTCCCTGGGGCTCCTGGTAAGTGATGTCAGGCCTTGCAGGCTCAGCATTGCCATCTCCAGTGAAGCCCCCAGTGATGGCATGACCCAGGGTGTGAACCCCCGCAGAGCCCACAGCCATACCAGC